GGGACAGTGAAGGAGAGTCCTGCTTCTGTTTACGGGGAAACACCTAAGGAATATTCGCCGTGAAACGTTTCATTAACATCGGCTCCCTGTGCGACGAAAAGTTCGATGATGTGCGCCATGGGCAAGTGTCTCTTTTTTTGGCCACCCCTGTATATCGTAAAGCGGTCAACATGAATAACGATCTCACGCTCGAGATTAGCCGACGCCGCAGAGCGGGCTGGACCGCGTTCAATAAACTTCGAGATGTACTAACTTCTAAGCACGTCGACCCCCGGGTCAAAGCTCACGTCTTCAACTCGCATGTTCTTCCCGCGATGACCTACGGGGCGGAGACGTGGAGCACCACAGTCTCTGAAGAGGAGAAACTCGCAGTCACTCAGCGAGCCATGGAGAGGGCCATGTGCGGGGTAACGCTCCGAGACCGCATACCCAATGACACCATCCGCGCTCGTACGATGGTGAAGGACGTCGTCGATGCCATCTATAATTCCAAGCGGAGGTGGGCCGGTCATGTGGCTAGACTTACCGATGATCGCTGGACGAAGAGAGTGACTGACTGGTACCCAAGGGGAAAAACAAGGCCCAGAGGCAGACCCCCCACCAGATGGGCAGACCCTCTCGTGAAGATGTACGGCCAGTTGTGGCGCAGAAGAGCCCGAAGCAGAGCGACCTGGAAGATGTGCGACCTGCGTTTCTGGCGTGCCCGGGACGAATAGCGGTCGAGAAGTAAGTAAGTATATACACTGAAACACTCAGAATAGCTAACACTTGTTCCGTATTTGACACATTTACTGATAAACTAACAGAGTTCACAAGAGTGTTACTAGGAAATGGTTATCATGAGGACTTTATTATATCTAATATAGTTAAGTGTATTTATAAAAATAAGTTTATATGCTATAAATTCTCAATGGCTAATAATTATAAAAATGTTAATAAACTAGTTAAAGGAATACTCAATCAATAGCTTATGCTTAATTCAGTGGACAGGCTACAAACATTTCCACCTTTTTAATTTCATAAAAGTTTTACATATACTTGTCAATTTTATAATCATTTTAGTAAATATACAATTAATTTCATTGCATGCTCCTCTGCATGATAATTTTGTACGTCTACTCAAGGTTTATTCGTCTTTCCCCTGTGTCTTTATTTCGCCAATCCCAACTCACTGATGAGCTCCGGGGATTGACGAAATAATAAGGTTCGTCTGAGGAAGGAGCGAAACGAACCGTATTTATTATTGTTTATAATGGTTTTTCTTTCTTAATTTGGACCATTACGCAAAATCATAGTTCCACCTCACATGTTTCTCTGCTGCATTTTGCTTTTACCCAATCAAATTTTGAAATTATTACCCACTCTCCCTTAGCTTATAGCAAAGGCAAAACCGCTGTCGAACTTCCGTAAAAGGAAAACCCTAGCAAAAGAGACGCAGGAGTTGTTGAAGTGTCAGCTCACGCTAGAATTTGTCGGGGTGGCTTCATAACGAACAAGTTTCTCAAGGATGCTACAGGATATGATTCTGGGAAGAACCCTGATTACTATCCGACCGAGATAAGCGCCGTATCGTGAGAAAATAATACGACTTTATCCAGACGGGTACGGAAATCAAAACTTCTTCAAAAGTTAGTGTCTCAATGGAAGCAGTTTCACGTGTTTTACAACACGCTCGTGACAGTCCATGTCTGGAGGATAAGAAATACGCTTTTAGTGAAAAGAAATCAGAGAAGAAAACGAGCCATTTTTCTCAAAAAGTTTTGCTAAGTAGAGCGAAGTGAGGACACTTTTTTATCTGTGATATTTTGGAACCTCTGACCATCCTCCTGATCATTTTCTTCTCCATACATGTGTGCTACGAAGTAGAAAACCGATCTGAGAAAAAAAACGTTAAGAGAAAGAAAGACGCAAATCAAAAGTCGCAAATGAAAGATAAGTTTATTGAACGCGGTCCAGCCCGCTCTGCGGCGTCGTCTAATCTCGAGCGTGAGAACGTTATTCATGTTGATGCTTTACCGATATACAGGGGTGGCCAAAAAAAAAGAGACACTTTGCCCATGGCGCACATCATCGAACTTTTCGTCGCACAGGGAGCCGATGTTAATGAAAGTTTTACGGCGAATATTCCTTAGGTGTTCCCCCGTAAGCAGAAGCAGGCCCTCCTTCACTGCCCCCACCGTCTTCAGAATATGACGTCATCTGCCGTCACCGTCGAGCTCAACGAGGCTTACCGTAATCGCTCCGGCCTGAAGCTGCTACATAATTTCTTCAATCGGTTAACTGGTGAATAGCTTCCAGAGACACTAGCTGTGACTATGCAAGACCGCTTTTGACCAGCGTTTCAGGGACGTCGTAATGGTCTATGGTACCTCGACGACCTCGTTGAGCTCGTACCGTGAACCATGTTTCCGTGGGAAAATCTTCTGATGTCGTCGGTGTAGAAGGCTGTCATGTAACTTTTGATAGATTAGAATGTGCTCTTTAATACTAAGTTGGGGGCAGTCGATTTGATTTCAGCAAAGTGTGATTAATGCTGTCTGAAATGTGGAGTGAAGTGTCTCTTTTTTTTGGCCACCCCTGTATACGTAAGAGGAGACTCGCTCGATAACGTGTATATAACGGAGCCTTTATTATTTATGGAGATATTTGTGTCATTATGTGGAAATCTAATAACCTTGAACTGAAAGTCTCGATTTTGCGTCATAGGCAAGTCGGGTATTTTCGAAAAAATGAGGATAAAAATTTTTTGCTTTCTCAAACTGGATTTCCGTGATAATATTCAGATTCGCATTTGCATGTGTCACAATTTGTCTGTAGAGCCCTTTTCAAAAACATCTCCAGATTCAGTTTTTGGGAAATTTGTAGGTGGAACTAAGATTATGCGTCGCAGTGTATGTGCTGCCTTGGAGGGGAAGTTTGCTATCATATGCCGGACACCAAACCATCGCTTCTCAATCCTGGGACGAAACTGATGGAAAATACCCGCGCGTCACATGCGATGCCTTGCCATAGGTCATGTTTAGAAATGATTACTGAAAGATAGTCCCGCAATGCGAACGAAATATTGGTGCACAAGATTTTGCTCTTTCCTGTCCGCATACTGATGATAGCGCTCATTTTGTCAGTTATCTTAGGGGGGGGGGCTTGTTCATGAGATTTAAAAACTTCAAAAAGTTCTCAGAAATTTTCTTCTTATTTTCTACATGCTTTTCCTAGTCGATAAGTCCCTTGATACCATCAATAGAACGCTGGTGCTTCCAATACTTTCTTTGTGTCAGCAAGTTAGTTAAGTGGATTTTTGATAATTGGAGGTTCTGTGAGGAGGCGCTCGAGGTCAAAGGTCAGGGTCATGG